GTTGAGTTAGCCTTCAGTTAGAGTATGTGATGAAGTCCCCCGAAGCTCAATCTTGCCAAACAAGCTTGAATTAGCTTGTATGTATGTATGAATATACAAGCTTATCAACCTAATCAAACTTGTGTCCGATATCACGCAATCTGATTGATGGTTGAAATATATATAGTATTGGTTCGACCTTGTTTTCCCACCTTGGCCGAGCATCAGGAAGACTTCGTAGAACATACCTAGTCTCGTGTCCTCTACCACAGTATTTGTGATCTCCAGGATTAGACCATTGGTAAGTATATTCTCATTCCATTCTCAATCCTGGCGATCATGAATACTGTGGCAGAGGGCTCCAACCAAGGTGCGAAAATAAGGTCGAACCAATGCTATAAAGCCAAAGGAGATTGCGACCAGGCAGAAGGCCACAACATCTTAGTTTTCATATCTACGAAATAAAAATTTTTTCAAAGCCTCTATAGCCGAGGACAAATGTTCTGTTTTGTTAGAATAACTTTATGATGGTACTGAGGTTGCACACATATGCGTACAAATTAATACATAATCATTCGCTTGCTTCTCGATTGAAATAGGATTTTCACTAACTGTATCACTTAATATCTCAAAAATGCATAAAATTATGGTATAAATACAGTATTTCAGGATAATTCGATTAGTTTTCTTAACTCTTTAGCTTAATAACAGCTTTAAGAATGCTACCCTGCTCTTATGATTTCCGCCACAAGATGAACAAAGCTTGGTTTACTTTCACTGCAATGGAAGCAGATGGTACTTAGGGGTCAGAGCCATTTTTGGCGACTTAGAGGGATGCTTTAAAGGCAGTGCAATTGTAAATTATTGTATCGACACTAGTTTTACTTTAAATACGAATTTGGAGAGGCCTAGCTTGCCTAAAGATCACATCGGCCATGCAATTCACGGGAATGCGTCGTTATTTGACGGAATACTTACATGTTGTCGGTTGGTTAGCATGACCCAATTTCTAATCTCGTTGGTGTTGCCATCGAGACTGAAGCAAGCAGAAATTGAAGTCGAAGTCCGAAGAAAAAGCAACTCTGGCTGGAGGGTTAAGTTAGATGAAATGGCATCGTTCATGCTCCTGATTACTTTAACTACCGGGCTTTTCATTGCTTTATAAGACCTAAAAGGACACTGCTTCTTCTAAATTGGCCCAGCAAAGCAAAGTTCGAATAAGGAAGTTGATTTGAGTCGGATGCTGTCAGAATGCCTAAGACACTCGGAATAGATTCAGAAGAAGAATTACTTAGGTTGAGCCAATTTTTAACAAAACCAGAATACAAAATATAGAAGGTAAAGCTTCTCATTTCTCGATAGGTAACCCTGGGAAGGTTGATTTCTCTTTTCAAGTTGGAAGGAGGGTGACGGCTAAACTTTACAGATGAAATTTATTTTGACATTTGCCCTCACTACCGCCATCGTATGCCACTTTCTCCTTTCCCATACCTTCTGCGCTCCGTTGTCAAAAGAAATTCACATACATTTTGTTCGATCTCGTCACAAATACACCTCACCACAGCCGCCAAATTCAATGAAATTTCATTTCCTCTTTTGCATCTATTAATTAAATTGTTTGCCCTTTTAGCATACCTCTCGTCCAACTGTGCAGTTTTCAAGGCTTTCTCCTTAAATCCCATGTTCATTTAGCCAAATCTGCTCGCAGGTCAATCAGCCGGTTGTACTGCTCGCATTTCCCAACGCAGTGCCTGTTGGTCTCGACTCAGATTGGCTCCGTCTCCTTCACAACATGGTCACCACACATCGGGCCAGACGACCCTCCAGTCTACAGCAGACCGAGCCACTTGAGCATACCGAACATCGGCACGGGGTTGTCTCTCTTTTGAGGCGTCCGGCTGCCCAATGCCTGGAACGCCCCGATCGGAGCGTCGGTGAGCAGAG